ACTTTCAAGAGCTTAACTTCAACCCCCTCCCAGATTCTAGAGTACAATGTGAGTATTGTGTCTAGACCCGGACTTGAAGGGTGAAAACCAACACCAATAATATCGACGTATGTTTTTTCGTGTCCAATATACCGATTGACGAAGTACATCTGACTGGGTTCTAAAGATTGAGCATCAATATACATGTTTGATGAAAATCTCTGTCAAACCGGCTAAATTCCTCTCTCTCTTTTCGGTGCTTGAGACGTCTGCTTCTTCGATGCGTACTTGTGGACTTGGAAGATCCTCTCGTCTATGAAATAGTACTGGTTTACAGTGTTGTTTCTTTATAGACGCATTGGGAGTAGCCGACCACCGCCGATACTTATTCTAACAAGCAGGTCGGAGTAAGTGAAAATGTGGTAGCACGTGTGTCCGTTGACTGACACTTGTTATGTAAAGCAAACATGTGTTGTGCTAGTGGCTATGGTGCCTGATGAAACCGGGCATCTTGGACTTCTGAGTATGCAAAGTCGTTGTTGTGCATGCGGGTGCATTCTCCATAGCTCAGTTCTGTTGGACTTCACCACGCGTGTGAACCTCGAAGTTCCTTAGAAACCGAATGGGAAAAATCTTCTTTGACAAGCTGATAGCCTAAGGATGTGTGAGGGCAAGTACGGCATTCTTGGATGTCTGCACCCGAGTAGACTAAGTGCTTCAGGCTAATCTTCCTCGAGACTATGGACGATATATGAGACTCCCTCGAATGAAGATAATGAACATGACGCTCGTCTAGGTGATGACTGGATCTCTCAGTAAAATCCGACAAACCGCACGAAATCTCTTGACAAGCTAGTAAATATTTGCAATCAAGTCAAAGGGAAAGCACCGGGTCTTCCGCCAACAAGAGAGCGACACCGGCAGACTACTTCCACCTCGTTGTTTACTTCGTGGAGCAAAATTCGCATCGACTTCGATGCTCCTGAAGGTTGTGCATGTGACAACATTCATCTGCGGTAGGAAACCCCGCAACTCGAACATCACAAGAAATGCTGATAACTCCACCATGTCTTTCACTTGAAGGCTTCATGTAGCAGGAAACATCCGGTATAAGCCGCTTAACCTGATTTGGTATCCTGTCGTAGTGGTCTGCTGACTCGTTCTTGTCAAGTGATCTGAGGAGCCAATAAAGCATGATCGCAAATTACGGAGCCATTCTCCGTCCACTTAGCAGGTATGGATGATCTCATAAGCTGTAAGACTGTACAGAGTAAGCATCTGAAATCCGATCAAGCATATGATGGTTGCCTGCCTAACAAAGTGCAGAAATCCTACCTTGGAGAGTGTGTACGACTCCATACAGGTGAGGGTCAGTAGGTGTGATCGTACGACAGCCAGAAAGTGAGGGCATTCCAAAATTGATCCGGCCTATCGATAAGTTGTCATCAGAATCAGAACTTTCCGAAAGAAAAGGCGTGGTGGGAAGGACGGTATGGCATGCACGCCCGCCACTTGTGATCAACCATTTAGAAGTAAATGCCGTTGCGGAATGACGATTACACAATGACGACGGTTGCGCAAAACAAACGGCAAGGTAAGGAAAGGTCTTGTCAGCCTTGCATGTTGAGAGAAAGGGAAGTCTGAATTATTAATCGTTGCTGTTGTGGGGTTGAGCTGAAGTGTGAATAGGTCGCAGGCCTAGGGAAGAGCTAGGCAAGCCAAAGACTCACAGTGTTTCAACAGGGTTGAGTTTCCAGGATATGTTGTTAGCAGAGAGTGCACCTTGCCCATTGGCACCATGTTGTGTGCTGTTCAAGTAGCATGTAGACTTGTCCTCAAGTTCAGAGGATGTCGCGCAACTTAGAAACATCCGATCTTGACTCAAGGCATAAGCATCCTGCGCCTCTATGCCACGAGACAAGACCCCACCAATACCTATACTCCAAACCTACGAAGCTACAGAGTTACACATCTATGCAATATACGCATTTGACTATTCTTGTCAGGGACAAGAGTCAAAAGTGCGGTAGTCGTCCGCTGTGATCAATCGGTGATGGAGTTGTGGAGTTGTCGCATGTTAGCTCATACATTAATAATAAACACAGCTTCCTCGGTTCAAGTTATCTTGCTCACAATTACTCCTCTCACACTGCACGTTGCGGATTACTCACGAAGCTCTTTTGTTCTCTTGTATCACTGGCATACGATCTCAATCTGCAACTTCCTTTTTAACAAAGGAAAACGGCATTAGTTCTTCTGGCGCAAACTCTCCTCCCTTCACAATTCCTAACATCCTCGTAATATTCCTGTATCGTACCATACCGTTGGGAAAGGGACAATTGTCAAACACCTATGCAGCAAATTCTGTACCATCTTATAGTTGCCATTGCGGTGTTTGAGTTCCTACCCTCGGCAATCGCACATGGACATGATGACACAATGTATATGGCTGCAGCGGCAGCGAGCTCTTCACCAGCAGCTGCTGAAGCCACCGAGACCGTAATCAGCTACTTTCAATATGGCGAACATTTCGGACTCTTGCTCGCTCATATAACCTTAATGACAATAGCTTGGGTGCTTGTGTTGCCAATCGGTGTGTCAGGCTTCAGACTTGACTTGACTGCAATGATTCGTACTGACTCTCCAGGTGTTATGCTCTCCATCGTCAAATCTCGCTATACACTTTTAGTACAATTCTCATTTATAGCTGCGAACGCTATCGCCCTACTGTTAGCCACCATATACAACGCAGACACACCGGACCTATATCCAAATAACGCTCATCATAAACTCGGATGGGTGCTGACTTGGGTCGTGAGCGCTCAAGTCCTGATAGGTCTTATCAGTGCGTACGCCGGACGGCATGAGACCAAAAGGGCAGGTCGGGGAGCGTTCATGTCAATCTCGACCGAAGCCATGGCTGAGCATCAGCTCTTTCATGGCGAGCATGATAGACTATCCAATGACAGCGGCCAAGGCACAGAGCGGAACACCGGCTCGCTGAGAAGCCAATCAATGTCCTCTTCTTCGTCTGGAGAACAAGATCAGATGCCAGAATTGACAAAATATGAGGACGCTGATGCTGCAGGAAAGTGTGGACTGCTCAGTGGAACGAAGCTGGACGGATTCTTGAGCGCAGAAATTCCAGCACTACTTTCCTCACGTGTCTTAAAAGCTATATACCTCCTATACAAAGTTATCGACCGGGTAATGCTGCTCCTGGCTTTCCTTGGCATGTCCACAGGTGTCGTCACCTATGGTGGACTCTTCGTACGTAGCATTGTCCAACCACTTCCAAGGAGGATACTAATGCGCAATAGATGGGAGACCGTGTTTTCAGTGGGCTTGCCCATTTTATCAAAGGTGGTGTCTTCTTTTGGTTCGGCATTTTGACACTGGGACGATGGGCTGGCTGTTTTGCAGACATTGGATGGGTGAGATATAGCCGAGGAGCAATCCAGTCTCGGAGTTCATAGCTAATATTTGCAGGCATGGAACATCAATCCTTCTAGCAAAGATCGCCTCTCTGCCGAATTCGTGGAGAGCTTACTCATTTTCATTTATGGGTGTACAAATGTCTTCATGGAACATCTAAACGCGTGGGGCAAAGCATGGACTGCTCAAGATCTTGAGCATATCTCGATTACCTTCATGTTCTTTGGTGGCGGACTTGTACGTGCTATCAATACCCGACTATCAATATTGCCAGTGGCTAAAGTGTCTAGTTGGGAATGCTGATCGAGTCGAGAATGGTTCGCGAGCTGCTCAATATCAGTCCTGCAACTGAGCCCTTCCAGTCAGAAGCACCACCACTGAAGAGCTACGGCTTCTCAATGAACCCTATCCCGGCGTTAGTTGTTATGTTGGTGAGCATGATGATGAGTTCTCATCACCAGGAGTCAATGCTTTCCACCATAGTCCACAAGCAATGGGGGACACTTCTGGTAGGAGCTGCGTTCGCTCGAGCAGCTACATATGTCGTGATGTATCTGTCTACTCCGACGTCAATTCTCCCCGGACGACCACCGACCGAGCTGATCACAGCATTCTGCCTGATGGCTGGCGGGTTAATCTTCATGGCAAGCGCACGAGACTCAGTGATGACCCTGGAATCATACGAACTGGATGCGATATTCATCTTCAACATCGCTGTGGGCTTTATCACGACTTTAATGGCGTGGATTCTGGTGGTGATTGGCATCAAAGGGTGGGCAGTGAGGAAGGAGAACAGGAGCGAATTAGCTTACCGAAGCGCGAACATGCCGTAATGGAGAGCATCGATTGATATCCAGGTTGGAAATAAAATATTCTGATGACAACGGACTTGGATGACTGCGTTTTAGCGGGTCGTATTTGCAAGCTGGCGTTTCCAAATACACCTTTTGCTTTCTTGGGGGACGATACGATCGGTAATCGGTAGTAATAGGCGTGAGGTACCGGCAGCGATACTGTAATGATTGACAGCTCCCTTCGGACATCATGCACACGGCTCCAAAAGTGAACAACGTGACGAACAACAACTCCAATATTTCTTCCCAAATCAGTAGCAACTCAAAATCTAGCACCCCAGTGTCGTCTCGTGCCCAAGTGCGGCAAGTGGTAAGTCGGCCTCGACTAAGCCTATTCAAGAGATGTCTTCTACCTTATTTCAAATGTTCTTACCGTAACTTTTATTGACTTAGCTCTTTCTTTTGAGCTTCGACGGGTTATGGGCTACGTGATAGGGTAAGTAGGTGGTTAGGATAAAGGGTTGGATCTGTAATACTTTGTAAAACTCGGTAGGGATTAGTCAGGCACGGGTAGGATTTGGGCATGTTTCTAGCGTCCATGGTCGACTTCGTAAATCCAAGTTGACTAGTTCGTAAATTTTCAACACATGCCTCCTTTTATTCCTGGTCTAGCGGTATCGCTTAATTGATTTGCCCAGCGCACAAATCTGGTGTCCCGCGGAAAGCTAGTACTATATATTAAGTTTAATGAATACGTGATCATAAATTGATTCGTGTCATAACCACATCTGAGTCGTGTTGTCAGAGTGGTTAATGAGTGAGACTTGAAACTATGTGTTAAAGACATCTCATGCCTTCGGGCGCGTAGGTTCAAATCCTGCACACGACGTTTTTTGTTTTGGGCAAATCTTCTTTAGCTCCTTGCAAAGGTCAATTTTCTATTCTTTTTGGTGGAGGATTGTTTTGGGTCTTTTTGGCATTTCGGCTGGGTAATAAGGTGAGTAGATGAATAAGATTGCGTGGTTTTTTTACGCTAGAAAGGGGTTGCTTGAGCTATTTTACGATTTATGGGGGCTAAAGAACTTAGTCTAGCAAAATGTGTGTGTGTGTGTATTTATTTAACGTCAGACAGACGGCAGCACGTGACCGCTGCCCTGGGGGAGCCCAATGGACTATATGACGCCATGTGCCGCAAGGGACGCATGGTCAGCTCTAGCTACTTCCAACTATTACAATTGCTTTATGCGCAGCCGTATTTCTACAGTTCTACAGCTGTCTGCGGTTATTCCCCGTTAAGGGTACGTTTGGCTGCCTCCATTGCAGTCGGTCCCCCTGCCTATGACTCCTTGCCACCTGTCTGCCCGCGGCTACCTCCTATTGAAAGTATGGGAGTGTGAAGAAAGTAAGAAAAAGTAAGAAAAGAAAAGAAAAAAAGAGCCAGTAGAGTATGTCTACTAGGATATAATGTGCTTTAGGCTAGTTGGGAGCCTCTCGCGTAGCGTGTGGGATAAGGTGTTAGTGAAAACCCCTGAGCTCGTGGTCCAGTTCGCAAGATCAGAAGCACTATTTGCTGAACCCAGTAGATAGGAGATCTTATCTCCTGTGTGTGTCTTCGGGCCAAGTAGGCGTGCGTTGCTTCTTTTACAGAAGAAGAAGTGTAAAGGGATCTTTGGCCGACCACAAGCACAGTAAAGTGTTGCGTCGTGGTGTTCAAACCGCTCGTGATATGCCGCAAAGTCCCCGTGAGACGTCCGCGAAGCTAGTATTCGCCCTAGCGCTCCTCTCTTTAGCCAAAGCTCTGCTGTGTCGTGTGAGTACTGTATGCCAAGGTCGTGGTAGCTTTGCGGGGCTGTGGTAAGCCGTAACTGGGTGACAGAGTCGCTTGCTTTTGCCTTTACGAGCCTCCTAAGAGAGGCGAGTGTTTGAATAGCTCGTGGGGGCGCTGTGGAAGCGGCTCCAGCCTTTGCGGCTTTATCTGCTTCTTCATTGCCTAGGATACTCAGGTGTCCTGGTACCCAGCGGACCCGCAAGGCGTCTGGGCGCGTGTGTGGGAGACGGCGTCGTAGTGGCCATTGTCGTGCTACCTCTTGGAAGTCCGTAAACACCTGCTATGACGAGCCTGTAAAGGGTGAGAGGAGCCGGTGAGCCACCTCTAGGTTGTCTAGGAAGATCAATAGGTCGGTTGCTAGCTTTGCTCCTGGTGACGAGAGCGCACTGCGGGCTCCCTCTAAGACACCTGCTGCCTCTGCGTCAAAGACCTCCGCGTGAAAGCCGAGAGACTCTGCTTTGTAGTCGGTTTGTAGGCCGTATTGATAGGTTACGGACCCACACCCCGTGGCTCCGTCCGTAGACTCACTCTTCGGTCCGTCTGAAAAGACTTGGATGTCTCCAGGCGGTACGGTGGGTAGGAATGTCAAGAAGTCCTTTGCTGCTTCGGCTTTCATCTGTCCTTGCGAACCGTGAATTCTTTTGCAGGCATCTACGCGAGTCTCCTTTACGGCCCATGGAGGGACTTGAAGAAAACTGCCTCCAATGTTAAGATTGACAGATGATCACGTGATATCTAATCATGTGACATGGTATACATCTGGCGATGATTGGTCAGCATAGGACAGAAAACCTCGGCTTCCCACCAAGTAGTTAGCTCTCTAGTCCAGGCAATATTGAGATATTGGAGCTTATACTTCCTTCGGTCGAATAGGCTATGAGCCCGTGCTGCGCATAGGCTCTGTGGGAAACAACGTTTAGATCTCTGCCACCTTGTGCGTTGGAGATCACCACAAACGCGTCTCTGTCACCATGCGAGTGTGAAAGCTCTTTTGTTACCTCTGCCACCCGAGTGGGAGGAGACACACGTCCACAAGTAACTAGTGAGAAGCTTAAGATGCACGTCCAGCAACACATCCTCGAATCCTGCGAATTCCAAAGTCCCTCTACATCTGCCGTGTCGACAAACCACCGAAATAGGTTACCAGCGCCGCTCCTCATCAACTACGAATCTCACGTTATAGGTCGGCCTACAGTAATACAAGTACAACAAGCATAACTGGGTCAAGTACATACAGTGAAGGAAGGAATTGTTACATGTGGGGCGAACATGACATTCAGCACATTGAGGTGTTGACCAAGGATAATCACGATGAGTGGTCCAGAGATACGGAGATCGAACTAAGTGGCAAAGTATCATTATTTGTGATCCAGAAGTCGAGAATAGAGTACTGCTACGCTCTGATTCCAGCCAATCCCTCTGATCCGAAGTTTGAGCAGACCACCATCACCCCAGTTCAGCTTCGATAAAGGAAGAAACGAAGACGTTACGGTGTACCTCAGTACTAGCTCAAAAGTTTGAACCCCCAACCAAAATCAGCATGTACGCTCATACACTTAATCACACTTTAAAAAAAGCACTAAAAATCGTAAACCATCAATTTTAAGTACATATCACTCTAAATTTAATACTCTTTTATTCTGTAAAAGGGCTTTTTATTTAGTACTTTTTGTGCCAGCCCTTTGCCTGTCAACCGTGGCTACCCGATACGGCATACTATCTGCTACCTGTTCAAATAGGCTATTAGGAAGGGCCTCCTAAGCCTCCTTTAAAGCGTCCTGTAGAGCCTTCATAGCGTCCTCCCGTCTGCCCATATTCTTTAGTTCGGGGTGCATTTGTATAACAAGCTTTTTCAGGTAGATTCAGGTTCAAATTAGGTGAATACGGGGGGGGGGGCAGTCGACCAAATGAATCGCCATATCCGTGAACCACTGTCGAAGTGCCGAGCAGCATAAATTGGGGAGTTATCTTGCATGAACTGCAGGCCAGATTCTCAGCAAATAGGGATGTCATCGTCGAGTAATTGGAGGTAGGACCGAGCAGAGTAGCCATTCTTTGACTCCTAATTTCTCTCAAGATACAATTCCGAACGACGTGTTTGTCCCTCGATGAACCAGAGACAGGCCCAAGCCATGACTGAAATATCCCTTCCTTTTGAGTAAGTTTGGACCATGTCCCGGTCCCAGTTTTGCGTAGGTGTACGAAAGACCCGTTCACCACTTTTACCCCTTTCCCTCTGCTAAGGTCCAATGCTCCCGAGCTTTACACCAAGCAAGCCTTTTACGGGCTACCTCTTCTGTAATCTCTGGCTGGTGCTTAGCTCTCCAGTTACTGACTCTAGAGGGGCCTAATATGAATTTAAGGGTAGTGTTGCTGAAACTCATTCCTAACTCCTCCCGAACCTCCGCATATGTGTATTTTGGGTGTACTTGGACGCGTCTTAGAAGATGACGTGCATCACGCTCTGTCCAAAGCTTTGGCCATCCGGGACGTGATGGAGACTATCGGTTCAGGCGTATGAACGCGCTGCGCAATGTTTTTTTGACAGCCTATTTTGTCGTGTTGAGAGCCTTCGCGATCTCGGCCGATTTCCCCCTAACTTTGCTGCCCCAACGGTTTGACCTCTTTTATAAGGACTGAATTCCCTCTTTTGGACTCGATTTGGATGAATTGGATATAAGGCACGTCGGGGAGTAGACATTTTATTGTTGTATTTAGAGGGCGTTGGGGGGGGGGGGGCGATTGGAAAAATCGCGAATTTTGGTGTTGGGGTTTCAGACTTAGGCACGGTGACTGTAACACTACCGCTACCACCAAGACGATCAAGTAGGCAGAGGAGACGGATGGAGCTGGGGAGATCAAAGAAGCTCGGAGAGGATTGGAGAGATTGGGAAGATTGGCTGGAGATGTCAAAAGGTCCTAAAACGCATAAGAATCGCTGGGAGAGGACAAAGAGGGAAAGGGAGAGAAAGAAGCTTGGTCGCACGAGTACTTACCATCTGGTTGAAGATATACAGCTAATCGAATTAATAGAAAACATAACGAGGTTATGCTCTTTTAAGGTAGAATTAAGGTATAGTAGCTGGGTCTAATATAGGTGATTTAGTTTAACAGTGAGTTATATATCTCCTAACTGCTTCCTGTCTTTAGCACTTTGGATTTGTAGAACATTATAAAAGTGAGACCCGCCTCCCAGTGGCAGTGGCCTGATTGCAGTTTATTGTGAAGTCCTAAACCTTGTGACTCTCAACTAAAACCACTGCATTCATAGATCCAAACAAGCAGGAGCAAGTATTAGTCCCTCAAGCATCGAAACTTTTTGTCTGATTCGCAGGTTACTAGGCTCAGAACCCTCGAAATCCCGAAGAATATCCCAATACCTTTCATCGCCGTCAAAAGAGCCAGGTGGACACTTGGACACTTCTAAGCTACCGATACTACAGTCTGCAAAGTACACTTGCGATCTTCAAACTACACCCCCGTATACCACGATCCGTCTGACGCATTTGGCATCGCTGCAATATGCAGAACACCAAACTGCTATCCACTCCGCTGTCATATACTGCCACCTCCGTAGTCTGAACGTGGGGAAAATCGCCTCTTGAGTTCAGAAGTTTCCAGCCCAAATCCAGAACGACAGCTGCATCACGAGGCTCTAAAATTTTAGGCTTTCTTAGGCTCCTTCGGCCAAGTTTGATGGTGAAGATTCGAAAAGAAACGTAGACTGGAATGATTTGAGAAATGGGGATAAATTAAGCTGGCTGCAGCTGGCGAGAGGTCTTAAGTCACTTAACAAGATTTACAAGTCAATCAATCAGTCGGCTGGGTCCAAACATTCTGGAAAGAGAAAAGGCTATGGGGGAGGGGAGGAGGCGTTGAGACCTATTGTTTGAGTATCAAAGGCGTGGGAGAAACAACTCATATGGTGGGATAGCTAGTTGGAAGTGTAGGGCTCCAGTCACGGGAGGAGGCTCAAATCATTCATCAACGTTCTCCATTCGACTAATAGAAAAGGAAAAACATGAGAAGAATGTCTAGTATAATACCCTGCATAAGTCTCC